ATGTCAATAGATCTCGTTATGAATTATGGCGAATGACGCGTGTCTCGGTCGCACCGATACAAATGGAATTCAAATAGAAATATATATATATATATATCTGTTTGTTTAGAGGCAGTGAGTCGGCAGACAATTTGCCATGGCATCAGGTAAAGGTAACATCTTAGAGGTGGAGAAGGAAACGTGCCACAGTTTTGCACCTGCCGCCTACGTGGCTGCCAAAGGGAATGGAATGGCAATAATGGAGACAGATGGAAAGAAGAAAAGAAAGAAAGAGAGCCAACAGCTGTGAAAATTCATCAACTCAGGCTAAAGTTGTTAGAGCCTCAGAGACAAGTCAAAGATCCACACAGAGAGAAAATACTAGGGAAATGGGGGATCGATTCGGGTAAGTTATAGTAAGAACAATCTATTTTATGATCAAAAGAATTAATAATCTTTACTTTTCTGTTTATAAATATCATAAGAAATTGCCACACTTTATAATACCCCAAAAATAATCCAACTTAATTATCAAAATAATATTATTTGCTCACCTTATTTACCTCTAAATATTTATCCAACTTTTTTAACCAACAAACAGCATTCTAATTAGTTAGGTAATTAAACAAAAAACCCCTAAAAATAATTGTTATTACAGTTAGGGGTTACTTTTTGTTCGCTGTGCAGGCAACAACAACTGTCGTCATTAGCGGAGACGTTAGGCATTGAGCATGCTAAATATGGTTTCACTGAAGTTAGCCGACAACGTCGCCACAAACTAGTACAGCGGCAGCAGCCACTACAACAACAACAACAACAGCTATCGGCTAACCCAGCGACTGCAACCTCAGATCAAAAGCCAGACAGCAATGCAGTTAGCTAGCGACTCGCAGAAAAGCTTATCTTGGGAAAAAAATAAAATGAAATACTCCATTGCCTGACGCGCGTTCTTATTAAAAGTCAAGTTTTCATTTTCAAGCCGCTTAGTTGGGATACAGATAGAAAAAATGAGAACTAAATAGTGGTTACTTCAATGATTTATGGTTGGAAAACTTTCACTAATTGAGATTTTAGAAGTAATTAGAAATAGTATCTTTCCTAAGAGAAAACAATCTCAGTACGATGTTTTGTTTTATTTATTAAAATACAGATATCAAAATCTATTTATCATTCATATAAAAATCCAAAATTGCCTTCTGTTAATATGAAACACATTATTCCCCATTAATTGGGGAATTCATGGAAACTATTATTGCCATTCCCTAACAGATGACACATTTTTAAAACAATTTTTCATCTACATATTTTCTAAATGTTTTTCATGGATATGGATCTGATTACTTCCAGCTAAATGGAAAATTAATCCAAACTTTCAAACAGAACCAGATGTCACATTTTTTTTGCCCTGTGCCAGCTAACAGAGAACAACGTAGTTCAGAGAATTTCCTGCTACCGCTGACTAATGGCGATCGTTAATAGCCGGCTTTATCAGCTGAGATCGTAATAATAATAACTGACCAACCAACCTGGCTGGCAATTGAGTTGTGCGAATTTCTGTAGGTGTGTGTATGTGTGCTTGTGTTTACCTTCTGATTCGAAACTTGCCGCCGAACACCATTTTCATGTGGTAGACGGTATCCAGTATTGTGAAATCCAATTTGGTTGTTGGGAAGACCAGCAGACATACACGCGCGCGCAGAGATCTCAAGAGATATATGTGCGGAGACGATCCCCAAATGACAACAAAATAAACCGAACTTTTGCGTGATACTATGCTTCCTTTTGTTTGCCAGTTATTTGTGCAAATGCTATGCAGTTTGTTGGCCCAACATTTGAACCCGCCGCTGAACTTCCTTATTTTGGATATTTGGCGATCAGGAAGTTGAGGCCGCGAGAAAAACAAAAACACATGAAATTGATATACACATGCAGCCAAGTGTCACGAGAGTTTTACATTTTTAATTGCCGAATTTCAAATATCGAATATCGTATCTCGGCTTGCGATGGCAAAATGCAATTGATTTATCTTTTTACACACGCGTCAACTAGCGCGAACGTCCGAACGCGTCAGACGTTTTCACTCGTTTGAAGTTGCGGCAACGTCAGCGGGATGATGGCCACAAAAACATGGCACACCAAACACAAAAGACCTTAAACACACTCCACTGCAGAGCCGGTTCGTTTAAGAGCGTATTTAAGAGAGAATTAGCAAAGTAAGAGAGTAAGTTCTCTTTGATTGCAGGTGCCTAAGCTAAAAACCCTTTAAATTTCGGCTTATAATTTTTGTTTAACAAACACTAGTCATTAGCTAGGAATTTTGCTAAATAAATTGAAAATAAAAACTAAAAATTTGCCATTAAATTCTAAGGTTCTCGGTTTATGATCAGCTGTTATTTATGGGCCATTCAATTAAGACATTTATTGAGTATTAGACAAGATTGCCATTTCCAACTTTAATGGTTTTCTGCTTGACTTTTGCTCTTTAGGAAAATATGCTCTCTTACAAATGAGATTTTTAAGAGCTGGCAATATTTTCTCTTTAATTCTTTCGTTTTTACAAAAGTTAAAGCATAGTTTTAAGCGTTGTGTATTTATCAGTGCATATCTGTCACTGCCAAGCATAAAAGTAGGCAATTATTTTTGTTCATTCATGCGACCAAGGAACCTTGTAAAGACCATAAAAGGTCTGAACATATTCCTGTTTTCCATATATACGTTTATATTCCTCTCTACCACTATCAAGATCTTACTTGGATTAAACGAGCTTTATTATTATATGTAGGTACTGCATCTGTCAGTACCAAGCCCCCGAAGCCATTAAATTCAATCGCCTTTTGTTGGGCATGTTCTCATCGGCAATCTGTCGCTGCTGCAGTTGCTGCATCGTCATCGTCAACGGAGCAAAGTTCAATCGATCATTGGGTATACTGTCGATATTTAGCCGTTGATAGCGGCCAGAAATTATGGCAAACACTTTGTTAAATGTGACTAGCAATACAGAAAAAAACAAAAAGCGGCTACGCCGTCGTCTAATCACGGCAACTGCATCGAAAGAGTCGCGACTTGCGGCTGGATAAATTGAATTGTCTGACTTGGCGTTTGCCATTATGTTTCGCTTGTTCCTTTTAGCTGAGTGGCTTTTGCCGCGGCAACACGGCGAATGAGTGATTTATAGCGCGCATACGACGCGTGGTCTGTGGTCGCTGCTCAATGCTGGCAGTTAATTTGAAAATAATACAGCCAAGACCTAGCTGGAGTGTTGCCAAATGGCCACAGAGGGAATTTATTCGGCAAATGCCTGCACTTTGCCTGACTTTTTGGCCAACGGCTGTGCGAGGCGATAATTAGAGGCTGTCAAGAGAACATATGGCACACCTCTCAGGGTTTTTTGGTTTTTTGGTCTTTGAATTTCGACTGTTGTTATTTCGTTAACTGCTCTAATTGAAGTCGCTGGAAAAGTGTCTGCAGGTGAGTCGGTTCGAGAAATGCAAGCGATGACTGCCCTTTGCTCCATTTTCCGCACGCCAAACTTTCAAAATGCAAATTAGGCACGTTCGCGGTGAACGGCATTTGAACTCCCGACCGGGCTAAAACGACAACGAACGAAGCCTCTGACAAGCCCATTTACAAGTTGCCAGCCAGGCTCAGCCTGCAAGACTTTGCCACAAATTGTGTCAATATTTGTCTCGTGCTGGATGCTGCTGCTGCAACAAATCGTGCCGCAAAGGTCTCAACCGGTGTCAACTGAGCCACCAAAAGAAAACCAAAAAAAAAACCCCCCTCCAAAAATAACAATATCAGAAAAAAAAGAAACAGCAGAGGAAAAAACATGACAGCCCATAGAAATTATTGAACATGGACAAGCTACAGTGGCAGAAAATTAATTAAATGTGGGAGTTCATTGTTAAGGATTCTGAATTAAAAATTACTCGAAAGATACGGGAATACGACTAAAGCTTGTCAAAAACCGCATTATCTACCTCTATTCCATAGGATATAATGGCTAACAAACTCTTAAATAAAATTTATTTCCAATGACTCATAAAAACCTTTAACAACATAACGAATCTTAACCACTGTGCAACCACAGCCTGAACTCAATGTGCGGCTCTGAGTTATCTAATGCCCGAAAATTGGGTGCGATGCCATACAGTGAATGCAAAAACTATGCGCTCGGTGCGCTAATGAACCGCCCGGCGTTCATCTATCAATGTCACATGCCGTAAGCCCCGGCCAAGAATGGACCTTTTGTCCCGCTGGCCGGATAAATTTCGATTTTCAATTTGATTGGCTTTTACCAGCACAATCAGAACAAAGAACTGCCTGTGGGGTGGGTGGTTATGGGTTGCTATGGTTTGTTTGGTCCATTTTCGGGGGGGGAATCTCGGGGATTTGGGGAGTGGTGAGCTGCCCACACGCCAAGGAGCAAAACATAAATCGTTATTTGGTTGACACATTTTTGTGGCCGCACTCAGGTGGCGGCGGCTCAATTGGCGTTTTGGCGATTGGCAATTGGAGTCGGTCGGGTTTATGGGTTTAGTGGGTCGAAAGCGAAAGTCTAGCTGCTCAGCGAGCAGAGTATTTCATAATCCAATTAAGCATTAGGCGACAGCTGATTGACGGCCAGCCCGCGAAGGAAGCGGCTCATTAGCCAAGATCACCGAAGCTCGCCGGCTACCGTGCCACGCACTCGATTCAAAGTTAATTGGATTCGATAAGGTCAAGAACAATGAGCCAGGGAGTGGCTCGAAGCCCACGGATGCTGCTGAGATCGCTGAATACGTTTTGGCTTGATGGCTACGAGCTGTGCTGTGATTTTCTCAGTGACCCTCAAAGTGGATTTAAGTATAACTTCTTTAATTTAAGCTACTAATGAGATGTAATAACTAGGAAATGTTTTTGAAATATGAAATAAAATAATTTGAGTTCGGATGACGAGAATTTTTTGTAAATATTTTAAGTTCCCATTCCAAACTATAACTCAGATTGAGCTCAATTTGTCCTTAAAATCTATTACTCACCTCTTCTGCTGGTTGCTCTCCAGATTGCTGGCAATCACGTTGTCATGGGCTGTGGTTCTGGCACGCGGCAACAGGGGCGGCGGTGGCGCCACTGGACTGGCAACGTTTTCGAGGATGGGCTGCGGTGTCGTGTGGTGCGGGCGCTTGCGACTGCTGCCTCCTCCTACTCCATTCGCAAGATGTTTGTGCTGCAACAAAGAAATATAATTGTAATATTTGCAAAAATTACAAAAGCAATTATTAAACAGTAGTTGCAGACAGACGACCCACCTGCAAGCTTGTTGGCTTCTTGGGAACCAGCGGTGGCACCTTGGCGGCGGCGGCAATTGTGGAGCCAGCGGTGGGCGGTGGTGGGGCTGCGTAGGCGGTGCGACGTGTGGATGCCCCGGCGAAGCTGTTCCGTCGATTCGGCGAGGGTGGGGGACGTGGCTGCAAAACTTCCGGTGGCGGTGGTGGCGGCAATGGCTCATCGAAGGTATAACTTATGTCCAGCTCACTCTGAGGTGGTGGTGGGAGCTCAGGCGAAGGCACCCGGAGATTGGGATGCTTGGGCGGACGCTCGGGTGGCAAATGGGTTGGTGGTACATGGCGATGCTGCTGCGGGTGGTGTTGCTGGTGGGCCAAGGCGGCGGCCTGCTGCAGCAACAATTTGTCCCGCATGGGAGCATATTCCGTGGCCGAGGAAGTGCGTCGGGTGGGCACAGCCAAACGACCTCGTGGCGGCGGTGGTGGAGGCGGCATTCCGCAGTCATTAAAGGAGATTTTCTCGGCATTACTTATGTTCCTGATGCTGGGACCCTTGACCTGACCCTGAGCCTGATGCAGTTCCCTGAACTCGGCATAGTCCGAGGCGGAACTGGAGCGCCTCAGAAGATTAGGCAGCAGACTTCGACCACGAGGTGGCGGTGGTGGTGGTGTGGGTGAACTACAGTCACGCGTCGACGAAGAGGTACTCCCCGTGGGCAGACCCACCAATATGGGACTCAGGTTATTCGGCAGTGATTTCCGTTCCACATGCAATGCTTGATAGGACTGGGATTGCGGACGCAGTAGCTGTTGTTCCTCCTTCTGCTGCTGCTGCTGTCGTTCCACATAGGATTGCACGGCATTCTTCTGGAGGGCTTTCAGAGCCGGATTCGAGAGGCGGTGCGTCTTGCTGGGCTCCAGGTAGGCAAACTTCGGAGGCTCTCCCATCTGGCTGCGCTCAAAGTCGTTGATCCTTTCGGCCACCGAGTGCCAGGTGGGTTGGACAGTTGCCCCAGCTGGCGTTATCACAGGAAGTCTGTTGGAGAATCCCCAAGAGAAATTAGTTAACTGATTCGGGAGGATGTATCTTCAAAGATCTACTTACTTGGCGGACTTGTGCAGCCCGGAGCTGAACTGCGGCTTCGGATGTTGCACATACTGCGAGGTGTTGCTGTGCACCGGCTCCGTGTAGGTGCTTACCGGGAACAGGCGATGATTGTTGCGATAGGAATCGATGCTATTCGTTGGACTCTGCTCCCCAATATTGGGTGTACTGCAGCTGAGAGTTTCCGACTTTCCCAATGACAATTGCAGTTTGCTGGGCTTACCAGCCGGAGGCTGTGGGGCAATGGTTACCACCGCTTCGCTATTGGAAATGGTCACCGAAATGCTAGACTTGTGCTGCTGGCCAGTCGATCTTCCAAGCTGCTGATTCTGATTCTTCTGCTGGAGATCGCCCATGGAATGCGATTGCCCTAAGAGGGAGCGAGGTTTATCCGTGGGCGAGGCCAACTCCAGCAAGGAACTTTGTGTGCTCAGCTTGGTCTGGTTAATGAGGTGGCGTTGTTGGTGTTGCTGGTGATCCTGCTGCTGATGCTGCTGCTGCTGGTGCTGCTGCTGGAAGTGGTGTAGCGCCATAGAGGTGTGCACGGGCGGATAGCTGGGACTGTGACGGTGCTGGATGCGAAGTGGCTGCACCACCAACGAAGCACCCTCAACGCTTGCCTCCTCGGAGATCATCTTGGAGGAGGTGCTCTCAGTGGGTGAGATCGCTGGGGCCACATCATTGTCGTGCAGGTACAGCACGCTCTCGCTATGATGACGCTTGGGGGTCAGCACCCGGGAGCTGTGGACAATCAGCTGCGAGGAGGAAACTGCAAGACAAAAGGGAGAACGGTTAGAGGGCGTGTCCTCGGCCATTCTAAAAGGAGCCAAAGTTTGAGCCAAGTAAAAGTGGGCCAAACAGTGAGCCAAGGTCGTGGGGGAGTGGGTTATAGCCCGACAGTCGCCCAAAACATTTTTTTTGGCTACCTTCTCTTATTACAACAACTGGCCAATAACCATTCACCCCCTGAAAAACCTGAGACTGCCACACTATGACCCCACACTCGTTTTCAAGCCACGATTGTCAATTCTTTGTTTTAAGTTACAGTTTTTTATGATTTTATTTATTGGAATAAATTATTGATAAACTAAAATAAATCTAAAGGAGATCAAAAGAACAAGCTGATAAAAGAACTTCTTGAAAAAGTTAAAAGGACTTTTCTGGGAAAAATCTTTTTTTTGTTTTTACATAAGGATTTTGCCTAACTAATTTCGTAATACCTCTCATTAATAGTTAAACCTTAAATGGCAATCATAGCTTAATATCTCTATCAATAAACTTACCCGATTCTGCAATAGCGCTATAGCCTGTGGCATGGCTCGCCTCGGATATATCGCTCATGGAGCCCAGCCACTTGAGGGTTTCCGTAGAGGAAGTGCTTTCCGAGCTGTTGTTGTTAATATTGGTACCGCTGTTGCCGTTGCCGTTGCTGGTATTGGATGAAGAGGAGCCAGAGGAGGAGTGGGCGTGGCCGTGGGAGTGGGAATGTGAGTTGGAATGCGAATGAGAATGTGAATGAGACTGGCGGGCCAAGAGCGGAATGGGTGAAGGTGCCACAGAGTTGCTGCAAACAGAGGAGAGATCGTTCTCCGACCAATGATGCGACTGGCGCGACAGAAGATCGCTCTCCTGACGTAATCTGCAAATAGAACACTCCGAATTAGAGTTGAAGAAGCCAAACAACATTAAAGTATCTTAAAGTAAGTAAGTTTTTTTTTTCTTTTTTTTTGGCAAATCATTGCGTGCTACAGAAATTTGCGATTTCTGGTTTCTTGGGCTTTTCGCATGGCCGCAATTACTTGAATTTCTTGCTTAGCCTTCGGATCGGGCAAATATAGCCAAAAGCGGACTCTCTTCGGTACTTGGGGCAAGTTCAGCTAGTCGGACAGATAGACCAGGCCAGACATATGTACAGACAGACAAAAATAGAGCTAAAACCGGAGACGGAGATAGAAATGGAGATGGAGATGGAGACATAGCCAAGAAGACCTTGAGAGCCGAGCTTAAGCTGCTCGTTTTCGGTTTTATTTCTTGGCTGAACGTCTACGCTTGGATCTCATGTGTTTGCGAGTTACCAAGAATTTTTTATGGCGTTTTTTAGTGTACAAATAAAATTCATAATTGTCGTTCGGCATTTGATGTGAGTATGTGCGAAGAAAAACGTGTTTGCAATGCAACAGGCACACAGAAAGAAAATTCCAGGGAAAATTTATCATTTCTTAATTCTTAAGAAAGTTTATGAACATGAAAGTTGACTTTTAAATAAATTTATATTATAAATTCAACTTAAAAGAAGATATTTTTAAATTAAATAATCATGAATAATCATCATTATATTGTTAATTTATAAAATGTAAAAATTGAAGTGACTTTCATTAGGTTTTTGAGTAACTTTTGGGCCTTAAGTAATGGGAATTATATTTTCCAAAATGTAAAAAGAAAATTGTAAAATTTTCCTGACCCACAATAAACATTTTCCCTACTTCACGCCTTATCTTTTTATAGTTCTAATAATTTCATAATTTTCTTTCTCTGCACAGAAACTATTTGCCCCTCGCTTTTCCGCGACAACTTACTTATCCAGAAATGGCGTGGCCGATGTGGAATCCGAACTTGACACATAGCTGTGGTAGCCCTCGGATTGGGCATAGGATGGCTGTTTCTGGTGGTGGAAGGCCGTCTGATCGTAGTACGAGGAGGATCTATTGTTGTACTCCTCGAGACCGGCCTGGGTCAATCCGCACTGATCCAACGATGAGCCATGATGTTGACCCAGCTGGCTGCTGTTGTGGTGGAGCGGCATATCATCCTGCAAGAGTTCGGACAAGAGAAATCGTTGTTGCATAAGTTCGAAGTATTTAAATGGTTTAATCATTAGTTATGTGACCGCTGCTGACCGGATACCTCACATTTGCAAATGATCCGAGGCCATAATTGCGCTCAAAGCTTAAGCAAAAAAACAAAAACAAAAAGAAAAAACAGAAAAATCAACAATAGTCCCTCGAAATTCAAAGAGTCTTGGGTCGCTCATTAGATAATTAAGTGAAAATTATTGCAGTGCAAGCGATGCAATTGCCGACAAACAAACATATTTGAAGTGCAGCGGCAATAACCAAAAACAACTTGCGATGTTGCCAAAGCATATATATTATGTACATAACCAGCGGCTTGATCGTGGGAGGGAGGAATCGCAAGGGGGAGAGAGGCTGATGGGGAGTCCGTTGATGCAGACACAACCGCCAAGCGGAGCGTCCATAATAAGCCGGATTAAGTAATGGTGTGCACAAGGCGAACGGTTTTGGAGCCACATGAGCAGGGCTTCAAGCCTTCGAGCTGTGATTCATGCTGCGGTGATCCGGTGATCAAGTTCACTGGTTACTGGATTGAGTGAAAATTTGGTAACGAAGAAATAACAGATCGATAACATGATCATTGGTTAGGCCATGGGCTTTTCTGGTTAAATTCAAACAGTGATTAAAGTCGTTGAAGTCGGGATTATATTTGGCTTAGTAACTATGAAATAAACAGGAAGTAGTTCCCTAAGTAATCTTTAAGAATCATTGATTATTCATTCACAAACAATATTAGTCACACTTTCCCCTTAATTAATATTGTATGCTTCTCCTTTGCTTACGTCTTATCAGTTAGAATTTTATTGATTTATTGATTCACAAGCCTTTGCTTGTAGAAGATTGATATTGGAATCATTTTACTGATTAATTGCATAGATAGAGACGAATTTAAGTCAAGGATTTTATTAACAGAAATTGTTTGTTTGTCTTCTTGCATATGTAATAAAGACATACAAGCAACAAGCACACGCCTAAGGAGCACATATGTTACTTTTTATGACAAAGCTGATAAATCAAATTGAAATATAAAAGCTTAACAACTTCCTAGAGGAGTAAATCCAAGTCACAGTCACTGTTTTGGCCTCCTTGTTAAGCATTTAAGTGATCACAGTTTATGATATTCCCACTCAGTCATAAGGCTTAACCCCTTCTGAAATTTGCCACCACTCATCAACTCATCAAGTCAATTTGCTTGCCAACCCTCGTGTCGTATACTTAATTTTTGGATGTTTGCGCCTGCGACTCTCGTAAACCAAATCGAATTGTAAATACTCAAGCATAAAGCCGAAACCCATGGAGAAATAGCAAAACAAGGGGGATATATACACATATATAAGCCGACTTGAAATAAAACTAACGTTGAAAATAACGAAAACGAAACGTTACAAGACCAAGCCTTAAGCCACTTGACTGACTTGGCTTCAAGTCTCGATTGCATTGAGATTGGGGATTGTAGAGGTCTTTTCTTTAACGATATTTATATATAGATATATATATATAAATGCTTTTGTTGGTAGCTATGTGGGCAGCAGCTGCTGCTGATTGTCTTTTTGACTTTGGCGCCACAAAAGCAGCTGAAATAAATCAGAAAATCATAAATGCTTAATGGCAAATATATATAATAACAATAATAACGAATCACATGACTGACAGTTGCCGATATGCAATAGAATCGTTTTCTGGGTCAACTACTTAGGTCGCTCCCTCTCTGCGTTTTTTTTTTTTGGTTTTTTTTCTGCTTTTTGGTGGTTTCTGCCTAGGGCGCATCCCCAAGAATTTTAATGGTTCCAAGCCACTCTCCGAATGTTCCCAAGACCAAGACTTCGTCTCCAATTCCAACTCCAAGTGGAGTCATTCATTCACTCACTCACCCAGCCAGCCAGCCAGTCAGTCAGTCGATCGTCGTGCAGTTTCATTTCAGTTCGTTTGAGTTTTTGGGGTTTATTTTTCTGGCCAATTGCCGTAATTATTTTGTCTCTCTAACACGAATTTAAATCAGCAACTGTCCCACGGGGCCCTTTACTTTGCCTTCGCTGTTTTTCTAGGTTTTTTTTTTTTTTGTTTTTTGGCTTGGCCCATTTTTATCCTAGAGAAAACCTCTCTGGTCCAAAACCCATAATTATCGGCCACAGCTGTATGTGTGTGCCCATGTGAAATTGTGCTCTGGATGAGCAGCTCCGGCAGCACCATAAATCAATGACCAGGGCCAAAGTCCGGGATGGAGATGAAGCTCTAGCTGGAGTCCAAACTGGTGCAGTGGGTCACAGCTGGATCTGTTTGGGTTTGGAGTGAGATTCTTAATGATCCCGTGCCACGGGGCGAAATCAAACTTCCGTCGTCCGAAAGCCAAGGCGCGTGTTAAATAAATCACTTGATGAATTGTGCTAAGTGCCACGACTTATGGCCTGAAGGAAAAGTGCAACAAATTGCCTGGGAAAACGGATAAACGGGGAAAGGTAACTCCGGGCATCTGGGGCGTATGCGTAATATTTTTAAATCCATTAAAATTATATCAATAAAGCGGAAACCCGCCAGCAAAACCCAGGGCTAACCTAACGGGTTAATAGTCACATTTCAAAAGAAAGCATTTCTCTGTTTGTTTAAGTCGATTTCCGTTTAGTTTTAAATTGTTTTTTCCTATTCAACGGAAAGTAGATTAGGCTACAGGGAAAACTGTCTTATAGGGCTGGAAGAAAAGTTAGCTTAAGGGAAAACTTACAGCTTACATAAGAGTAGTTGCAAAGTCGTAAGTAGAGGAAATAACTAAAAGTTAAGTTAAATAAATAGAAAACTAAAATATCTTCGGAAAATAAAGGAAATCCATACATTTTCTATGCTATAAAAGATTCTTTTTGAATCGTTCTTCATAATAGGAAACAAATCCTCTTATTTTGATCCAGAATATTTAAATTATATAAAAGCTCTACTGTACAGCATTAGTCACATCACTTTAACTTGCATCCAGACGACTTTGTTTGAAAGTATCGCTGGCTATCGCCGCGAAACGCTTGACTCATGCCTCGCAAGAAGGTCAGTTAGTCAGACTGTCAGACGTTCTCAGTCGCGTGATAAGAGACAGCAACAGCCGTGGCAGCGAGGCGGCAAGAGACAGAGGCAGAGAACGAGAGACAGGGGGTACAGAAAGAAAAGACAGATTGACAGACGCCCACATGTCTCGCCAAAGATGCGGAATTTGCAGCGAGAATGCAGTAAACTGGAGATTTTCGTGTCTCCGATCAGCTTGGCATTTATTTTGGCCACAATGATTTCGTGAGGAAAATTTGTAAATTTTTTCTCTTGCTATTTTGATTTGCGTTTTCCATTGTCGCTGGTCGCTTTTAATGGCCAACACGAATTTGACTCTTTCCAGACGAGAGTTGGCCAAAGAAAAGAAATTGCAATCAAAATGCGAGCAAACGTGTCAGTTGCCAACGTGGCCAAAGCTTCAGCTTCAGTTTTAGCCTTAGCTTCAGCTTCAGATTCAGATTCAGTTTTCAGCTTCAACCTCTCGGCTTCAGTTTCAACTTCAACTTCAGCTCACAGCTCGGATCGTGCTGCGATTTGGATTTGAATTTGGCAATTGGCGAGAGCACGAACGAGTCAGAGAAGCCCGCGGGCCTCGAGCATTAGAATTGAATTGCAAAGAGCCGAGAAAAAAACAAAACAAAACAACCCGAGTCCTTACTACTGCCCTCCATCCAACTCCTGATCTCCCCACAACTTGGCTTGCGTGCTATATTGGCCATTTATCGTCAAATTAAACGCATATCGCTGTCAATCTGCGCCCAAATTGGACACAGTCACAAAACGGCAGTGCGAGCCAGGCCAAGCTGTGGCTGCACATTGGGTTGGATAATAGTTAATGCTTATATAGGAAAAGGATCGCTTATTATACTATGTAGTTTTAATACTCAGGAAAGGTAAGTCAAAGTTATGGATAAACATACTTAATATCATTTAACTTCGAACACATCTTAGGAGTGACTTTTTACCCAGGAAAAGTAGCCTATAAGACCTTCAAAAACTTGTAAAACTTAATGTGTAAGGAGACGAGCAGCTGAAATATAATTTAGTATGATATTTCCTAATCTAAGAACAAACAGAAGAAACGAAAACCTCTTTCATACTTAAGTAAACAAATGCACTTCACTTTTACACATACAAAAACCCCACCGAATGACTATTTGCTTAACCCACTTTCATTCGCAAAACAAGTCCTTTGGCACCACTGTTCAATGGCCGGCAGCATGAATACTTATACCGCTCGTTTGCAACGCCGCAGATTGCGTAGCTCTTGGCTTTATAAAATCAAAGTGGCAAGAGTGCTTTGGAGGTCCCGGCAAGACTCACACTTTCGGGGAAAGTTTTGGGAGAAATGCGGGGAATGGCGAGGATGCTGCGACGATGACGTCTGGCACTTCGATTTCAACTCCTTTCGCCAGCTGTCAAGTGATCGGGCAACTGGCCATTCGGCGGTGAATCCCTTTAAGTGGGCCACCGATGAAAGTGAATCTGCGGTTCATTAGTAATAATTTTTGGCAGCTGGCGGTGGGTGAGTCTCATTAGTGGGAATGAGTTTAAGTTTATGCAATGGAGTGAAATGGATTTTTCTTGGGATTGGGATCAGGATCCGAGGCATCCTTGACCTCAATGGCCGCTTGTGGCGTTAATAACTTTGGCGAAACTGGCCAAAAGCGGCCAGAGAGAGAGAACTGGTAATGGACATGGCATGGCATGGCATGGCATGGCAACTGGTACGTTCCGCTGTTATCCACTGACCAGGCCAGGTCTGGTCTGGTCTGGTCAACTGGCATCCAATGGTATCGTATCGTATCGTATCGTATCCACTGGTCTGGTATGCTGACTTGGCCAGGCTTGGCATGCGGCTAGATTTATGGCCAGTGATAAGTTTCAGGCGTGCAGCAAATAAGAACGAACATGGCCAGTCGAGGAACGC